AAAACTGAAAATTTGTATGTACACAAGCATAGACCAATTGAACCTCCATACCAATTTTGGTGAAGATTCATTCACACCCTGCGAAGTAGTTATATGGACATACAACAGACAGTACTATTGTATTTATATCGTTAAATTATCATACGGTTTTTCATGTTCTTTTTCTTCACTTTCAGAATTTACAGACCCTCTCATTCGTTTTAACACATCTTAAATCTCTCCGTGGGTGTCCAGTCATGATTAAGATGAATCTAACATATAAAAATGTACATTTTCATTAGAGTTTTCTATTGGTCTTAATATTAAGTTTTTAGATATACCTGTATTTATTATTCTGATTGAGAAGTTAGTACACAAAATCACACACCAAAGTTGTAATGGTCTTCTGAAGGAGAATAGTGAACTATTCGAAAGCGCTCGAGTTTTGGGTCTTTTTTTTCAAAACCTGTGTTTATTAGTCACGATGCCGGATATAGAACACAGTTATTAGAATAGGAGAGGATGTTGTTAAACTTGTTCAACTTTACATAACAGTAAAAAGGTACGTTTACTATGTAAAGAGTACATGAGTATATGTAAAGAGTACATGAGTATATGTAAAGAGTACATAAGTATATGTAAAGAGTATATGAGTATATGTAAAGAGTACATGAGTATATGTAAAAAACAAACCATATATCTTGACAACCTTCCACAGATACTTTATTTATTGACGACTTTGACTTCCAAGACCAAGCTCAGACACGTCAAATGCACAAAAGTTCAATGGAGCAACAAAGAGGGACTTAACAGATGAGTGAAATAGGACTGCTGTGGTTCCAGCTTCTCAAACCATCTTTCTCCCGAAAAACAGTCGTTAATTTCTAGATATGACCGGAAGATTATGAGCTTTTGGACTGTGAGCCTTCATTTATTTATCATCCCGTTAACTGTATCACGAGATACGCCTAACTTCAATAGAATACTGTTTTTTGAGTAGCAGGGTTTCATACAGCGTGATCCAAATTTCAAATGCCCAATATTTAAACCTCTTTTATATTTAGTTTGTTTGTAATTAAACACAAAGCTACACAATGGGCTATCTTTGCTCTACCCACCACGGGTATCGAAATCCAGATTCTAGCGTTGTGCCACTGGGGAGCTCTATATTTAGAACATTTTATTTACAGTACCAGTCTCTGTGTGCCATAATAATGTACTCGTTTGTAATTAAGCAACAATGGGCTATCTGTGCTCTGCCCACCACGGGTATCGAAACCCGGATTCTAGCGTTGTAAGTCCGCAGACATACCGCTGTGCCACTGGGGGGCCAAAGATATATGGTCAACATTAGTGGAGTGAAAAGTCTTTTAATCGCATAAAATGTAATTTATTCAAAATTCATATCTTGGTACGGTGAAATATTATTTATTAACTAGCTGGAGTATCCGTACCCTGGACGGAAGTTATATAAATTCATTATTAATGAAAGGTTATCTTAGGACATGAAAAGTTGCTTCCCTTATATATGATTGTAAAAAAAAAACCTACAAAACACAAAATGCGAAACCACAAATTTTCATGTATTTCCACATGGACCCAACAAACCTTTATGCCAAATTTGGTGAAGATCCATCAACAGGAGGCGAAGTAGTGGTAAAAAGAAAACGCAATATGTAAAACTGAAAATTTGCATGTATCTCCCCATGGATCTAATGAACCTCCATGCCAACTTTGGTAAAGATCCAACTACAGGGGGCGTAGTAGTGGTAAAAAAACGCTCATAAGAACTGCAAAATGCAAAACTGAAAATCTGCATGTACCCCCGCATGGAACTAATGAACCTCCATACCAATTTTGGTGAAGATCCATCCACACCCTGTGAAGTAGTTACATGGACATACAACATACAATACTATTCTATTTATACAGATGCAGAATATTAACATACAAGGAAAACAAACAGTTTGTTCATGTAATTAACGGAAAATATATGTTTTAAAACTCACCATCAGTGAGAGATTATATCATGATATACTTGCAAAAATCAACACTTTGTGTTCAGAGAAAATATAAAAGTTTAGTGATGTCATTCGATATCTTTTTTTAGTTTTCTATCCATATCAGTTAAACCCAGCTCTCGACTTGACCCGCATAGACGACATATAGAAGTACGTTTCAGAACAACATTATTAAATCGCAAATTGGAAATGTCAAAAATAAGTAAACCCTACACGTGGGTGTAATTGTTATTAGGTAGTGGTAGAATGAGAGCTCGTGGAAACAGAAGCAGTTCATGCAGGATCCTGTATTACATCAATCTCCTGAATATGCTCGGAATCATTAGAAGGAAGACGTGCATTGGAAAAACCATGTTTAAAATTCATCAATCATTTTCAGCTGTTCCATTAACACGATTATTTCTGCGACTACTGACCTTTTACTTTATTAGATACACTATATATTTTTACTACCGTTATAATCAAACTGTGCTGTAAGGTATACGAGTTTGCCGATAACACTAATCAGGCAGAATTACTATAGCATCTTATACCACAATCAGTTGAACCAGACTTATTGTTTTCTGCTATTTCGAGTTGGAAATGTTTCTTATAGTCACATTTCACAC